TCCCTTATGATTGTAAGCCGCCCTGAGTCCCCTCAGGGAGAAGGGCGGCCTATAAGTCTTAATAAATGAACTTAAATGAACTTAAAAAAATGAACTCTTAACATTGTTGCTGTTTTGGGTTTTAGCTCAAAGAGAAGAGCTGCTAGAATTTTTGTAGCATATTGTGACATGTTTGCAAGACATATTTGATAACATAATTGTTTGCAGGCCCTATAGCTTAGATTCCACAATACATACAGTACATGGTTGCATGTTGCAGTTTTAAGGGATCAAAAATAAGGACAATTTGTCTGGTATTTTGTTGCTCTACACTTTGCCTATCCCAGCTTATTATAGCTAGGCAAAGTACGATTAGTGGGTATGTGAGATCATAGACTCCTATTTAAGAGACAGAGTATTGCAGTTCTATTAAGGAATATAGTAGTGTCATTTTTTTTAGCAGAGCCATCATCAGATGTAGATGATCATACTGTAATAATTATAGACCGTTGGTTAGCATTTCTTTTCTTGGCAAAGAGCTTGAATATTTTGCAGTTCCTTAGAATTCTTTCTTATCCCCTATGCTATTTATTATTTCCCCAAAAGTAATTAGTTGAAATTACTGGGAGATTTACACATTAGTATTACAGGTGGTCTTCAATTTACGACCACAATTGAGCCCAAAATTTCTGTTGCTAAGCAAAACATTTGTTAAGTGAATTTTTCCCCATTTTACGACTGTTCTTGCCACAGTTGTTAAGTGAATCACTGCAACTGTTAAGTTAGTAACATGGTTGTTAAGTGAACCTGGTTTCCCCATTGACTTTGCTTTTCAGAAGTTCGCAAAAGGTGATCATATGAACCTGGGATGCTGCAACCATCATAAATGTGAGACAGCTGAGAAGCATTTTAATTTTGATTATGTGACCATGGAGATAATGTAATGGTTGTAAGTGTGAATAATGGTCATAAATCACTTTTTTCAGTGCTGTTGTAATGGTTGCTAAATGAACTGCTGTAAGTCGAGAACTACCTGTATTGACGTATGGATGATATATTTCACATTCATAGATTGAAAGCATTTCGTAGTCCCTTTTTTTCCATTAGGGGTATTCCAGCAACAAATCCACATGGATAGAGATTACTTGGCTTCAGTGATCCATCCTTTAATACGTCTCACTTCATTTTTTACAATGCATTGTACACGAGGCTCCCCTTTGGAGATTGTCCACAAACTGCAGATGAACAAGTCGTGGCATCAGGAACTGTGACTGGAACTTGATGTTCCAGTCACAGTGAATCATCATTGGCATTTGGCCATTTCTGGATCCAATTCTAAATTCTGTTTTTAAATCCTTCGCAGCATCTTCATACATATACCTGAGCTCTAATAGCAGAGGTCCAAAGGCTGTAATGTACTAACAAAATGGAAATTAATTAAAAAAAATATGCCATATGTTAGGATTGGGTTAGAATTTGAGTTTCTCTAGCTGTGAATTTTGTTTCCATTTCTTAATCTGGAGTATATTTCTTTCCCTCTCAGATTCCTCTTCATCTGTCTTGGAAGCAAGTCTGACCTGCCATTGTTATCCATTCATTCCTTTCTGTGCCAATCCAGCATTCAGGGTGCTGGATCAGTACAGAATCCAACTTACTCATTGTTATTTCCTTTTTGTCTTTCTTCTTTTTCAGAGATATATAAGCACCTTTTCTTTCTCCTCACTTTGACTTCTACTCTTCAGTTCTTTCTGTGTTATTTGTATTGAATCTAATTTCTCTGCAGTTGACAGAGTTGTGAGCTTCACCATATTGCTCCAATTCCAGGAAGAGGAGCAATAAATATGCCATATATTTTCTTCCTTGCCTATTTCATTTGATCAGTCTGGCTAAGATCTAGTAAAAAAAAAAAAGTGAGACAATGGCTATTTGGAGTTCTCTGAGAGGAAGTCATACATCTTCTAGTCTGCAAGCTTTCATTCTGTTTTGAATAGTTTTACTTTCTTTTATTATATATTTTGTTTATGTCTGAACTGGTTTTGGCCAGTCTCATTTTACTTCCTAGTACTTAGAATGTTGTAGTACATTCCATTAAAATTCTGCTACATCCTACGGGAAGTAAAAGTCTAGATTTGCCATCTGTATATTGTATGATTCCAGTCCTTATTAGGACAAAACTGCTTAGCTTTATCAAAAACTATTCAAGTTATGCTTTTTCTTAGAATAGGTTTTTTTTTTTACAATGCAGTCAAAACAAAAGAATTTGGTTATACTTTTTATGGTTACAGATAGTCCTTGTTCTGAAACATGGTGTCATATAAATATGCAGCTTTCTTTAAACACTAAGATTGATAAAATATTTTCACAAATTTTAACATACATTTGAAAAGATATTTCCAAAAGAATGTTTTTCTAAATAAAAAAATAGCACAGCATGATTGGGTATCTGCAGTTGGAAGAGCTAAGATTGCTCTAAATAAGCATTATTAATTCTATCAGTATTGATGAGTTAATGCTGATAAAAAGAATGAGTTTAACAAGAAGCAAATTATGTACAAACTGTGCAACATTTTAATTAAATTAAAAGAAATTAAAGAACAAAGTTTCTAATCTTTTATATATAATAAGACAGATGTATTTGGGCATGTTCTTTATAGTACATAGTTCAGAAACCATTATTACTGTTTGGCACACTGAAACTTTCTGTGGAATTGGAAAACTGGCATTAGAATAGATGCACTTTGCCACTTGGACCATACTTCTTTTAACCAGCCTTCTGTTTTTTTAAATGCTTAGCTCTAGATGCTGCAAAATACTGCATTAGGAGGTAGCAAGCAGGGGATATTTCCCCAACAAAAATTATGGTGGTACCAGAAGAGATAATAAATAACTATTGCATAGTTGTAATATTGCATTGATATTGTCTTGCTTAATGTCTCCTAGTGGCAAAGGAAAATAATATTTCTTTGCAAAAACCTGCCAGCTCTTTTGAATATATCAGAGTTTCATTTTCCTACAATCCCCAAACAGAAATTATTTGAGGCATTGCAAATATAGTAATATAAGCCTGAGATCACTGCTTGGGTCCTTATTTCTGTTTGTACTATTTTGTTTTGTTCTTTATTGTACAAAAGCTCTTTAAAATACTTATTATAGAGATATACTTTTTTCCATGGTTGAATTGAGTACCTTTAGTTTTCTTCTTGCTTTTATTTTATCTTGTTTTTTCTTAAATAATGTGCAATATTAATTCATTTAGAGTATAGAACATGAAATAATATGGTTTAAAGGGACCTTGGAGGTCTTCTATCATTCCAGATAAATGAAAACCTCTTATGATGGAGTATATTTATCATATATATTCTTCTGGTTTCCCATAATAAGAGATATTGGGAAACTTGTCAAACAAATATTTCCTGGATTGGTGTTGTTTAATTTATGTTTGGGGAAAAAAGTGTTCCGAGGAAAGTATTTAAAATAGATCTGTGCAGTAGAATTAAATGTGTGGATAGGAAAAATTAAGAACTAATGTAAACAAATCTAATATTACAGATTAAAAAAATGCTGCTCAGGGTGCATTGCATTATTTTCTCCTTTTTAAGTGCTGCTCATGTGCCAATGTGCATTCTTTTCCGTAGAATATAACTGATGTGATTCTATTGCATAAATACCATGGATTTTTCCTGTCCAATGGTGATTGAAAGGGATGTGTGAAAGAGCCATGTGATTATCTTTTCCCGTGTACCAGCAGTACTCAAACAAATAATGAAAATCTCTGCACGCATGTTAATTGAGGCAGGCTGATTGCTGATTAACATGCACAACGCCATAATATCCCAATCTTATGACTTCTTAATCATGGTTGATGTGTTTTTTATAAAGTTAAGCACAAACCCAGTTCTGCTCATTGTAACTAGAATTTCAAACCAATAAGTAATCTGGATTTCAAATTTTGATTGCTGCCCATTGGAAATGACTAGCCCCAGATACAGATAACAATGAAGAAAGATAAAGGAAAGTCATTGTTGTTAAAGAACCATGTTACACGTTGGAAAGATGAATGCGTTCCAGTTAGCTAACCAGAATGACTATAAATGATTATATTGGATCTATTATTATCAGATTATAAATGTTTGCTGCTATCACAACAATACAGATAGTTAATCACCAACTTACATTAACTTTTAGAAAAATGCCAAGCTGCATGGAGAGAACAGGGAAAATGAGATGCAAATCCCATATTTTGAGCAATAAATAATGTACATTTTGTAAAATTATTTAAGTTTATATTATGGCAAATTCAATATATTTTAAAGACATTAAATTGTTTTATATTTTAGCTGTTATTTCTAAATATGCAATGGTTCATGCTTGCAAGTAAATAAACAAAAATAAATTATTTTACTTAGGCTGTGGCTTCAAGTTGTTGGTCAGTCCTGAAGCAAAAAAAGCAACAAATGAAAGTAAGTAGCCAATGCTATACATTTGTTTTGCAATGCCAATTGCTAATTTAAGACGATCAGTACATTATTTAGCATTATTTTTGTATAGCTATAGAAGTTGGTAAAGTATTGACTTCAGAACTATGAACAGAGATAGTAGAGCATGTTCTTGAACCATTTTTAATATAATTTCTCAAATCTGAAGTTACAGTTGAATTATAGGCAAAATAATAATCTCAATAGTCCCGGTTTGTGTGTTGGGTGGTTTTTTGCCCTCTGGAGGCTTCAGACGGAGCGTGAAAAACAGCCCAACGCGCAAACCAGAAGTCCGTTTCTGAACTTCTGGTTTGTGTGTTGGGTGGTTTTTTGCCCTCTGGAGGCTTCAGGGAAGCCTCTGGAGGGAGAAAAACAGCCAAAAAAGAAGGCTAAAGTCAGCTGGCCAGCACACGCATGCATGTTGGAGTTGACAGGGCAACACTTGGCGTGCCCCAACAAATGGCTCCGCATGCCACCTGTGGAATAGGTTCGCTATCAAGGTGCTAGGGTATTGTTAGATTTTGGATTGAATGAAATGACACAGTGATCTTCAACTAAAGCTCTTTATTACAAGTCAATGGTAACACCCGCAAAACAGTCTGGCTGACAGCTCTCCTTTTATAGGCAGACTGTCAGCCAGCAACCAATCAATTTAAACCAATTCTCCCATTTAAACAGCGGACCTGACTGAAGACTTCAGATCTTGACTTCAGCAGCTAATTACAATATGTAACAAATATGATTTGCCTTTTCTGTACCAATTACATCTTTAGGTTCCTGATGGTTTCTTTGCGCATTTCTATGCTGTTTGTGAACATATTAGCCCTGTTCTGGCATGGGGATTTTTAGGTCCTAGAAATTCCCTGAATGAATTTTGCAGCTACTTCAAGGTATGTGGCTTTATTTTATTAAGAGTTTACTGAATAACTGAAAATAGAGATGAACTAATAATTGTTTTATTAGACATCTTTCATTAACTAGAATCTTTTTATTTTATTTTTTTCCATTTATTTTTGCTAGAATCAGATTCTTTATTTCCTGAAAGATATTTTTGACTTTGAAAAAGTGCGATACTCATCAGTGGATAATTTAGCTGAAGATCTTCTGCAATTGCTAATCCGGCACACTAATCTTTTATTGGTTTACTTTGGAGTAAATGGATGTCAAGACCCAACAGCCAGTGATCTTTTAGAGGCAAAAGTACAATAAATTTCTATTTTTGTTCTTCATATGAGCATATTTTGCCTTTTTCTCCAACAAGGAAATTTAATATTGTTTCTTTCAGAGCAAGTACCCAAAATCTATGATATTGTCGAATATAGCCTCAGGGAGGTTTAAAAATATACATGTCATTGCTTAAATTATTGCTGTACATATCATTTAAAATAGTTCAATTGTCCTTGGATTTATACGTAACATATATTTCTAAACTATTACATAAATATTTGTGGGGGATAAATACATAAATACAGATCTCTTTGTGATGAAAGTGATATAAAAATACATGTTATAGTAAATAAGTTCCTCCCAGGTTTACAATGTATAAATTAGGTAGTGCAAAACTTTCAAAAGCTCTACCTGGTGATGTGTTTGCCAAGATTTGCACCTTTTTTGTCTTAATTAATGTGCAATTAAAAAAAACATATACGGTGACAAATGATATAGTTTTTGTGTGTATAAGCTATAATTTATAGTGTAGCAACTGTATCAATGCATTTCGCCTTAGGACAATATTCTGTGGGCACTGTTGTAAAATTTAAGAGTTAATCATAATTTTTTTTTGTAAATTATGATGTTTTATGTTGGTTGTATTGCATAAAATCAGAGTCTGGTGAACCCTCGGCAGTTGTTTTGAGTAATTAATACTCTCTACCATATTTATTTATTTAGTATAGATTGCTAAATATATAGATAATTCTCTGCAGAGCTTTTAAAATTTTATACATACTATAAATAAGTTCTTGTCTAATTGAATTCATTATTTAAAGTATATTTTTAAGGGAAAAGATGTATATTAAAAAGAATAAAATGTTGCAAGGGTAAATACATGTTCCATTACAATTTTAAATATGTGTTTGTCTCTTTTTAAAACAATAGGGATGCCAGATTAATACCTTAAAGGGTCTAGTTTGTGTGCCATGCACAGATGTTTTGTTTGATCATGGTTTATTGTATTATCCATAGTTGAGTATATGAAGCTGTAAGACATGGTTTATTAAGCACAATGGCCAGATTCGCAGAATGCACCAATCCTCAATCATTCCACATTTTTATTTAGATTTAGAAGGATAAATGACCCTAAAGGGGTAATGTGATTGCTCTCTGAAACAGCACTAATCCTAGCTTTCAGCCAGAAAACTTAAGCCTACCTATAGCCTGTTTTGTCCTAACTTCATACATGCATAGTGTGTTTAGCTTTTATATTGTAGAAATTTGTTGGATTGAATTTTCAAGAAATCCCTTGCCCAGTTCTGCCTTGCACTTCTAGTCTCTGTCCATTCTCTGCCACAAAATTAAACAGCTGATTTATCAAGCATTGAGATACCCTATTAGTTGAGTGTGTTCTGCATATTAATTGTTCTATATATTTTTATTAGATAAACTTGGATAGTGATAGTCCCTTGCATGAAGAAAGATTTAATGCTACCCAGTCATCACATAAAAGTCCTAACATATTATAGCTGTCCAAAAATTGTGAATATATGATACAGGAAAATGTCACTTGAGTCTTTATATTATGTAATACTGTACATATTATGTTCAATATTCTTTTTCTGTCTATGCAAAAGCAAATCAAGATAAGTCAATCTCTTTTTCCAACTGCAACAATTAGAAAACCATTCCTTTTGCAAAAATGTAAAATATGCATTTATTGTAAACTGCCTAGAGTCACATAAAGACATATAACTTGAGCAAATAAATAGTTAATTGACAGATTCCTAATGTTTGATTAGTGGTATCTGAAAAGACTTAAGTAAATGAAAATTTGACTGGGCAGCTAATGGAGGCAGAAAAAACACAATTAAAAAAAGAAATCCTGGCTTAAAAGCAAACCAGAGAAAGGGATCTATGGAAGTTAAGGCCATTGAAGAGGAAAATGGGTCAAATTCCATGAAGCAGGAAGGGGAAGCTGAGGTTGTCGTTGAATGATAGCATATATTTATAGCATTTATATATGCATTTTGTGTACCATGATTTCATAGTCAACTTATCACACAGAAGGACGCACCATTCTTTCTCTGGTCATAATACCTCAATAATAAGGGAGGAATAGATGTAACAGTGCAGGTTAGTAACTTTCACTGAATCCTGGGATGATTATTAGCAATAGCAATAGCAGTTAGACTTATATACCACTTCATAGGGCTTTCAGCCCTCTCTAAGTGGTTTACAGAGTCAGCATATCGCCCCCACAG